AGATGGGGGGATTTGGGGAGTTTACTCTAGTATAGGGTAGCAAAATTCAACTGAACTAGCTCTGGTATAGGCTAAGGGTTCCAGGGTCCCAGCGGCACAACCCCACCCAGAAATTCCCAAAGTACCCCCCCGAAATATGGCGCCGGTAAAGTAATGTTCCACCACAGAAGTATTGACCCCAGTCCCCGCATGGTCCTCGTCTGCAAGAAGCCGCGCAAGGCGAGAAGACAGGAACTAGGCATACAGGACCATGCTACAATAAATTTTAAACTCCTGATACGTGATACCCTAGGCGGTGACTCGTCCTTTGTTGATAATGCTTTGTTAAACATGATGTCAAGTTACAGTTGCAAAAATTGAACATTGTTAATTACAACCTATAGTTTGTTTACCATTGGAATAAACCAAATGGTTGACTGTAGAATTTTCCAATTTCCTGCGGCGGCTCAATGCAGTAATGGCACAAAAACATATGCTGGTCACATACAAGGACTTGATTAATTCAGTTAAACAAGAATGTGTCTGGATTTGCATTGAAAACTGCTTCAATTTATTATAGTGGTCCATAGTGATTAGATAATTAGTTTCCCCTCTCGTTTTTTTACGGCCGTCGATCCTTTTGGTCAGCAGCTTCCGACTACATTACAAGAAAGAGTCCAAATTTACAAGTTACGAGAATGGAGAAAATTACTATTTTGGAAGTGAGCAAAACAGAAAGCCACAGAAATAAAGTAAAAAAAATTGTCGACGGTCGGGCCACTCTAACATAACGCTTTTTTTTTTTTTTTCAATAATTGGAAAGATTTATTAATCTTATTGCGGTAGAAATGAAATTACATATAATGTTGACTGAAGAAGAGCACTTGCTTTTATGTAAATACAAAGTTGAATATTCAATTGCAAAGTATTTCTTGGTTACTGAATGAATAAGCCCATGTCTTCGAGGAAAGACTAAATTATATAAACGTGCAAGCAGAAAAGCCAGAAAATGCGACATTTTGTAAAAGCGAACTAAAACATTGCCACATTATACACAATTACGCAAACCTACTCCAAAAAAAATTAAAATTTTATAGAGCAAACTGACGGTAATTTTTTCCAAAATCGAAACTTATACAAGTGATTGTATTAAAAGTAGAAAATTGGTAGTGTTAGGTCTTGATCGATAGAGTTTTAAATAAAGAACAACCACAAAAGTTCTAAATACTGAAGCTTGTTCCAGTATGTATGTCACAGTCAGCAGGCGGGCAGCGAGCCAAACTGCAGAACTTTGAATGACACTACTTATTTACCTGCCGCCACCGCACCAGACAGAAACAAGTTTGCAATATTACCATAGACGACTTAGTCTGGTTTGTTACACCGTTTTCTCGGAAAAACTGCGAAATTGAGATTTTCCAACTTAGGTGACTAAGAAAGTCCTTGGGAATGGAAGTTTAGAAACCGCTTTTAAATAAGTCATCATTTTGGACTGAGAAGTGGTCAATGAAAATGTAAATAACTTGGCCTCGCGCCATGCGGGTCCTTTAAAGTTCATATTTAACCCTTTTCTCTGCGGAGGAAATGTTAAGCTGCGTCTCGTTTTTGTGGCTAGTGCGTTGTTCTCCCCGCTTGTGTTTTATTCCATTCAAACAAAAGAAAATGAATGGCCATTGAAACAGAACTGGGAAAATTAATGTGACGAAACGCCATTGTTGTGTTTGACCACATTTACCAGGTCTGCATGTTTCGTATAAAAGGCATGGCCAACTACGCTAATGAAATTCTTTCTCACGCAAGTCGATTGGAAAACTTTATTTGCAATTGTATAAATTTGTAGCGACAACTTTACAAAGCAAACAACGGATTTCTTGTGGTTTAATTCTAGATTATTGCCACTTGAGAAAATGAAACACCAACGTATCATCTCGTCTTGACAAGGAGGCAGTTTGCCTACCTTGAAGTGGTGTCTCAATCGTAATTTTAACATTCGCCAATACCTTGCATCTTCTAGAAAAGCTAGCCAAAAGACGCTCGCCTTTCTTCAAAGATTTAACTCAAAAAAAATTCGCATCGTGCTTGGGCGCAGTCCGCTTTAAACATCTCTTGGAATGTTCAATACTTATCGGCTAATGGTTGAAAAAAATATTCGAGATCTATATAAAGCTGATTAATATTTACAACGTAGACAGATTAGATTCTAGATATGTACTAATTAATTGAAGCTATCAAAACGCACCTGTTTTTACGGCTTCAATCCTATTGGCTGGGAAAACATTCGCTCATAACGGCTATTTAAAATCAACAAATATGCAGTTCTCTAGCAAGATGCACGTACGCCGATTTGGGACCGCTTTGAAATTGAATTTTACCTCTTTTCCTGGAGCGGGAATTTGGTTGCTAAAATTGCGTTGATAAAAGCCAGCGCGAGGGCGCAATATCACTTTAGTATACAGTGACAGAGAATTAACGTACGGAAAATGCGGGCATGCAGCAGATTGATTTCTGTAGTCTTCCAGGTAGGTTTTTCTCTAGTTTAAGACTTATTAACTATCATTAGTTATGTCCTAGTCGTTCTAACGGGCGTTTTTGTTCATAAAATTAACAGAGCCTTGTCTTCGTGGTCCTCGCTGTCTGTGGTATAGGTAAGTTTCAACGGCGAAATTTTCCTACCATATTATCAATTTGATCAGAATAACAAAGCGCGCGGTTACAACCGTATCTCACCGTTTCCCAGAAATTGAACAAATGTACGTATCTTATTCGCCAGCCCTTGTTTATGGTCTGAATAATGGGATAGGAGGTTTAACACAGCTGCGCACGGGCCTCTTCTCATTGTCATAGTTGTGGTGTTTATACTTCTCCACACACAAGGTTCAAATTAATATCCCGCGCTTTGACAGTTCGTAAGCTGACTCTAGTCGTATGCCGCAGGAAGTCTCTATTTACTTTTCCCGTTTATTGGAAGGGCTATATTGTCTGCCAACTTCCTACGCAGTATGTACGGTCATTGTCTCTTTACGCCTAAATGCTCGTTGAAATCTTTTGTTAACTGTTCTTGATTCAGTGCTGGGTGTTTAGAATCATCTCTTATTACGCCAGAGAAAAAAAAACGTATCGTTTTGTTATGAATACTTTGCACAAAACCTACGGTTACATCATTTCTAAGTTGTCATTCATAAAGTGGATTGCTTCTGAATTGGCTAAAAAATGGTATTTATTTTTTCTTTTTAACTGTAAAATCGCATGTGCCTTGCGAATATAACGTCAGCCGTTGTGTTTGCCAATCCTTCAAGCCCTTCGTTTCCTTCGACACCAGTGTTAAATTTTGTTAGAGGAATGCGCCAGTATACTTCTCTATTTCCAATTACGCAGTCAGTAGCGCGCGTAATTTGCCGCTAATGCGAACATTTTATTTAAAGCGCCTAACACATGAATCCTTTTCATGCTGTAACAAAATAAAGAAAACAATTAAAATGAAAATAATTTCCTTCGCTTGACCAGGCTAAGTGGGCGTCAAAAAGCAGAACTGTGAAAACGCGACACGGTTTTTTGAAGTTACATGGACATATTTCTTGAGCAATTGCGTTTCCTAGGAGGTGCTATAAAACATACACAAACACACACGCGAGGCGAAAACGGAATATTTCATTGTATTTTATTCGGGATAAACAGTTCCGCTTCTCATGCTTGTGTTTAGAAAGTTGAGAGAAGTGTCGAATCGAAACGCCGGTGAAATCTACGAAGAAATGGAATCTGGAATCAGTTCGTGGACATTGAAATCAATCATGATTTTACGCACGGAGTATTCGTTTCAAGAGAGGTACTCGTATTGCCCCAAATAACTAAGAAGTCTATAAATTAGTCTTGTGTTTAACTTGTTAATTACATTTTCTTGTGATCCCAATAGATGTGATATCGGTTCGATGACTTGTTACGTATTGCGTTGTGAATCTTGACTGAGGCGTTTTCCGAGTGGATTACAACATGCGTTAATTCGAGATAGGGGGCCAATACACTTGATAGTAAAAAAGAAAAGGCCCCCGAGGAAATATATATAAATGGCTGGGCAGTAGTGCGAGACGACGGCACACTTGCAAAAATCTTTAAAATCCTCTCCTTTGACCACTTTGAAAACAACAATAAAACAACACGAAATGTGGAGCAGGGACATGCATTTGAGAAAGAAGACTATTTCTACCAAATGAATTGCAGAAAGTGCTTCAAACCGCTGTCATGTTGACCTCAATTGGTTTTACGCTCAGCTATTTCCTGTGTATTGCTTTTGAATCTCTCGTCAGTTGAATTCACAGCCCAACCAAACCTCAGAATTCTTTATTATCACTATTCCCTCGTTGTAGATCGAACAAGGCCAAAAAAATAGCTATGTAGTCTGAAAAAAAAAACTGTATTTCTCCTTATAAACTAGCCGGCTCTTTTTGTTTGTCACGGTATCCACTGGAAATGTCCTCAAGATAGTGATCTGTCCTGATAATATTCTAGGATCATTCACCGAACAACAAAAAAAGTATTAAAGACACACGCACATGCACATACACACAGCGCACTTCTGGATTTCAATTTTGTCTTTTTCCTCGCGTAATAGATTAAAATTCTATTTTTGTTTTTTCAGGCGAATAGCACGATACGGTGGATTTATCCACGATGTACTTATATTTTAAGAAAACTTCGCAACGAGATTATACCTCTGCTAAAGTCAATATCGATCTTAATCTATACCTTCGAGCTTTCTTCCAGAAACGACACAAATGGAAAAATCTCGTCTAATTCTATCAACATCCTGATGTATAGATGTCGCTGTATTTTCTTTCTTTTTTTTTTTTTTTTACGCTCATATACATATTATAACATAAAAGCCAACACCTTAAAGTCTACATTCTTAAAAGTTGTGTTCGAGGGAAGAAATTTTGAAGCCATTTTATCTAACCGTTTCAGTTTTATAAGCCTCATGAGATACTCAGCGCGGGAAAATGGCGTTTTCTCATTAGTAACTGAGCCTTATATCAAGAGTAGTAGAATTTAGGCAAACTAAAACAGTCAGTAACGCAGCTCCAGACCTGAATATTAACTGTGCTGGGTTTTCCGGCCTCTTGTTCGTAACCGGAGGTAGCCAATACATCGAAGACATATCAGTGGTAAGAAATTAGAAAGATTCTTTTGTTTGATGCAATTTTTAGGTAATTTTACTAATCATTGATAATCTCTAACTTGGACGCGCTCTTTTTCTGGCAGAGTACGTATTAACCTTGAGGTGCTGGAATGCTAGAATTAAATTCCAGTGGAATATAGACAATTTTAAGTTCTCCAAGTCTAATAGCGGCACGCAGTTTGCGGTATCAGTATTCGTCACAGTTAGTACGTGCTCGCTGTTTCCCACCACAGTATAACTAGATTCGGGGTGCTTTTAAATAATTTAAAACCATTAAATCCTTGCTTAGTAAGTCAGTCAAGTATCTGAATTGTGTCGAACGCGCAGAAGCTATGGATGAAGGGCAGTTGAAAAGGAATAAGCAATAGTCTCTCAATAAGCTTGGTGCAATTGTAATTTAAAGAAAGCTTAACGTCGAAATCCAAAAAGATGGTACTGGTTAGTAAAAGGAGTTCTCGCGTGGAACTTGGAGTATTCGTAGCAGCGCCGCAACAATTGCTAAAAGGCCAAAGCTTTAGCAGTCCACTCTAAAATGGGCAATGCCTTATCCTTAAAACTTCAGATGTCAGTTTAAATTTCAGTGGTTAAAGATTGCAAAATTTTCAGGTCATAAATTTCATTTTTGAATAGTCAAACGGCTATGGGGTCAGGTCCAGAGCTTTTCATTGGGCGTCACCTTTCAAATCGATATATTTACTACCTGTCATTAACGCCGCGCCTTTAATTTTTCTTCCCCTCCAGAAAAATATTCGCGATAAACTTAACCATTGAACATGCAAGGCCAAGGTTAAAAAACTATCACAGCTATATATGTGTTCGAGGATTTTTGACAAGTATAAATATAATATACTCAGCAAACCTAGCATAAATGGCACTAGCTAGAAGTGAAACTGGCACTTAATATAAACCTTAGCGTCCACCTGGCATGGGTCATTGCAGCGTCTCAATCCCTTGGCCAGAGAGGTCGTTTTCAAAAAATGTTGTTTACTAACTGAAAATATCGATCGGTATTTACGTTTCTTGGCAACCAGCTGAGGCTTGTGAAGGCGATTTTGTAACGGAGCACAGCTTTAGCTTGTATAAAGTATTGATCGTTTGGACTGAGAAGCTTAAGAAACGCTGGTAGGTCGCAGCAATCCCATTATAATGATTTAAATTTGAGGAACTGTATTTTAGTTAATTTCTCAGAATTCCATTTCGCATCCTTACAACACATGATTTTCGCGTCATCAGGGTGCGCTCACGAGTACGTGCACAAGCATAACATCAAGAGATTTCCCTCAAGCTCAGCTCGACAGGGAAATAAATGCATGTTTTCTGTTAAACGAGCATAGTGACCTACATACGTTTTTATTGCATAATTTTGGTGTTCAAATTATTCTCTTTAAGTTGAAAAGAAGAAAAAAGGATAGCTAAAAGTGTGCACAAAACCGTTACTCGGCAACAACGACTCGAGGAACGTTTTGAGTCGATGTTGTTCAAAATTTTTTATATTTTTCATAAATTATATATAACATTGTTGCATATTCTCAGTGTTTGGTAGGGAACATTCACAATTGGAACTCAATGAACACATTGATTCTGAGCAGAAGTTTCATTTTATGTCTGCTGAAGAGCCTGCAGGCGAAAACAAAAGTGCCAGTTGAACACTAAACAACATTAAATAACATATTTAGTTTGCATAAAGTGTATAGGGTTGTTTTTCTTCTGTAGTGTTGACTAAATATGCCTTCTTTTTATATGTGATTAAAAAATTCTCTGAATTATACCAAAATGGGACGAACCGTGCTGATATTCGAATGACAGCGTCTACTGCACGAACATCATTCCGACAAGTGGTTCCGAAGTCGTGACGAAAGGTTCCGATTATCCGAATATCGAGACAAGCCTGTCTTCCGGAACTTAACATAATGATAAGAACGAGTTCAAATGTTATCGGAACTTATATTCTGACAATGTCTAACCATTCCGAAGAAAGCAAAACTAAAAACCACCAGGCAATATTTTGGCTATTTCTTTTTATCACTGGAAAACCGCAACGAGAAAAATGCAGACACAATAAATCACTTTTGCTACCACAATAGCGTCGACAAGTGTAAATATTGAATATAATAATTGCGTATCGTCACGAAATATATATGTTTATATTCACGTATATAGCGATTAAGACCAAATTTATTTTTTTGTTATTTTAAGCTTTCGTAGACCAAAAATAGCGCATTGGGGCAAATGAGCTAGCTATATAGTTATAAAAGTTGTCCTAACTGGTTATTACTCAGCAATTGTTCATACCAGGTAAATAATTGCTGAGTCAGACTATCTATGCAGTAGGGAATCTTAAAGTTGCCTGTGAGCAGGATCTCTAGTCGAGGACGGGGCGAAGAGAAAGCTGAAAGAAAACTGGATAGAACACCCAATACAGCAGTGCTAAACATTTCGACACTTAAATAAAGTGATGTAATTTTTTTTAAGTAAAAAAAGGGGAAATAAGCAGCAGGCCGCATGAAAGTGCTATTTGGGAAAACAGATATTTATGTAACGCTAACACACGAGGGTTTCATTATTAAAAAGAGACCCAGAAGGTTCAATCAATTCCATATGCAGTGAACCACCTTATGTAGCATAATAAACAGTACTACATAAAAGGACTTGCTCAGTAACTGAAATTTCATTTGAATGGTCACACACTAGAGTTTCATACATAGACTTCAAATTTACATCCACCTTGTAAGGCATAATAAATAGTACTATCGAGTACTAAATGAAAGTCCTACTCAATAAGCTTACATTTGAATGGTCACCCACTAGGGTTCCATACACAGACTTAAAATTTGCATTCATCTTGTACAGCATAATAAACAGTACTACATGAAAGCACTGCTCAATGCTTTCACTTGAATGGTCACCCACCAGTGTCTTATCTTAAGACCAAAAAGTAAGAACTACCTTGGAATGCGTAATAAACAGCACTGCGTACATGAAAGTATTGCTCAATAGCTTACATTTGAGTTTTCACCTACGAGCCTTTCATAAACTCAGGAAAAAAAGGATTTCTGATTAGTATTATTTAACTGAGTATTTATTGCATGCAATGGCTTGTGCTGGATATATGTTTATGTCGCTTAGCTTCCCGGCGACTTTCAGCAGGGTCTATTTGAGACAAAGATGTCTGGCCCTTTAAAATTAGGTATAAAGGGTTTGTACTTGACGTACTTGAAATAACAGTGATCTGGCTGTTAAAATGTTCATATATCTATTTCAGGCAAAAACGACGGGCTCGTTTACGGGTGTATAGTGTTTGAGTATTGAACTGATATCTGTGGTTAGATTACTACAGCCAGTGAAGCTAGAGATCTTATATGGTCCGGTATAGATAACGGCAAATTGTCAAGTGGCGCTGGAGAAAGATCACGGTTAATTCGGTCGTATTTTAATGAAGAGTATTTAAAGAAGTCAATTAGTTTTGTGTACATAAATTAGCAAAAGACAAACCTCGGCAAGAGCTGAATATTGCTTCTTCTCAGTTTGTCGCATTCTTTTGTAGAAACGTGTTCTTATCTATTGATCAAATCTGAAGTTGGAAAAGTTCTTATTAAAAAAAAAGTGGTATGGGCCTTTGATTTGCACTTTCGATTGGTCATTTTGATTTTACATCGGAAACGTTGAAGGCAGGTATTGAAACACGTTTTCATGCTATTTTTCGCATTTCTCTGAAAATGTTGTCAAAAAAGAAGTAGTGTCAAAATTAATCGATTTAGAAAGTACTCCCTAGCAGTTTCTTACACATTCCAGTTTCAACCAAGATCATATTATCTTGTTTCAACCCAATGCCCAATCTTTCATTCTTCTGTAACGCTTCTAACGGGTGTTCCATCAGGCCATATTACCACCCACGGATTCGATCTCTCAGCATATTAGCTTTCAATTAATTATATATTTATAGATTGTTACGATATCCATCAGCGGGCGGAACGGACTAATGACGATTGCGCCAGTATAGTTAATTGCAGTTTTTCAATTGCGAATCAAGTGTCTGGTTTCTAAATGTCACATTTGCGAGTGTTCAATTCATTTCAAGAACATCGCAGGGAGACATGACATTGAGTCGGATTCGATTCTCTTGAAGCCGAAATTCCAGGCATATGTGAAATTGTTTTGAGGCAAATTCATCACATAGTTGTGTAAGAAACTTCAGCAGAAAACCAACCGTTATAATTTATGGGACATGGCAATTTACAGCGCGAACTAGGGCCAAATTACGTCCTTTACAGAGCCGTTTCGCCAACAGATCTTTCACCACTCAAACACTTAAATTTGTGGAAGCACAGCCTACAAAAATAACATCTGACTCGTAAAAAATAACCAAGGGTATTACATAACGTGCCGATAAATAACCCTCTTTATTGACTTCTGTAATACAAAGGTTTGTTCGAAAATGTCTCAATTTGTCATTACTGCTACCAATTAGACGTCATGTATAGTGTTATTTCCTGGTGAATAAGTGGTTGGTTTGCTTTTTGACGTACTTCGATCGAGCAATCAACTCAGTGACGAAACACTTAAAGGACGTCTTAGAAATTAAAAAAAAATGTTATAACCTGTTCTTGTCCTTGGTGATGCATAAATATATATATATATATATATATATATATATATATATATATATATATATATATATATATATTTTTTTTTTTCAATAATTGGAAAGATTTATTAATCTTATTGCGGTAGAAATGAAATTACATATAATGTTGACTGAAGAAGAGCACTTGCTTTTATGTAAATACAAAGTTGAATATTCAATTGCAAAGTATTTCTTGGTTACTGAATGAATAAGCCCATGTCTTCGAGGAAAGACTAAATTATATAAACGTGCAAGCAGAAAAGCCAGAAAATGCGACATTTTGTAAAAGCGAACTAAAACATTGCCACATTATACACAATTACGCAAACCTACTCCAAAAAAAATTAAAATTTTATAGAGCAAACTGACGGTAATTTTTTCCAAAATCGAAACTTATACAAGTGATTGTATTAAAAGTAGAAAATTGGTAGTGTTAGGTCTTGATCGATAGAGTTTTAAATAAAGAACAACCACAAAAGTTCTAAATACTGAAGCTTGTTCCAGTATGTATGTCACAGTCAGCAGGCGGGCAGCGAGCCAAACTGCAGAACTTTGAATGACACTACTTATTTACCTGCCGCCACCGCACCAGACAGAAACAAGTTTGCAATATTACCATAGACGACTTAGTCTGGTTTGTTACACCGTTTTCTCGGAAAAACTGCGAAATTGAGATTTTCCAACTTAGGTGACTAAGAAAGTCCTTGGGAATGGAAGTTTAGAAACCGCTTTTAAATAAGTCATCATTTTGGACTGAGAAGTGGTCAATGAAAATGTAAATAACTTGGCCTCGCGCCATGCGGGTCCTTTAAAGTTCATATTTAACCCTTTTCTCTGCGGAGGAAATGTTAAGCTGCGTCTCGTTTTTGTGGCTAGTGCGTTGTTCTCCCCGCTTGTGTTTTATTCCATTCAAACAAAAGAAAATGAATGGCCATTGAAACAGAACTGGGAAAATTAATGTGACGAAACGCCATTGTTGTGTTTGACCACATTTACCAGGTCTGCATGTTTCGTATAAAAGGCATGGCCAACTACGCTAATGAAATTCTTTCTCACGCAAGTCGATTGGAAAACTTTATTTGCAATTGTATAAATTTGTAGCGACAACTTTACAAAGCAAACAACGGATTTCTTGTGGTTTAATTCTAGATTATTGCCACTTGAGAAAATGAAACACCAACGTATCATCTCGTCTTGACAAGGAGGCAGTTTGCCTACCTTGAAGTGGTGTCTCAATCGTAATTTTAACATTCGCCAATACCTTGCATCTTCTAGAAAAGCTAGCCAAAAGACGCTCGCCTTTCTTCAAAGATTTAACTCAAAAAAAATTCGCATCGTGCTTGGGCGCAGTCCGCTTTAAACATCTCTTGGAATGTTCAATACTTATCGGCTAATGGTTGAAAAAAATATTCGAGATCTATATAAAGCTGATTAATATTTACAACGTAGACAGATTAGATTCTAGATATGTACTAATTAATTGAAGCTATCAAAACGCACCTGTTTTTACGGCTTCAATCCTATTGGCTGGGAAAACATTCGCTCATAACGGCTATTTAAAATCAACAAATATGCAGTTCTCTAGCAAGATGCACGTACGCCGATTTGGGACCGCTTTGAAATTGAATTTTACCTCTTTTCCTGGAGCGGGAATTTGGTTGCTAAAATTGCGTTGATAAAAGCCAGCGCGAGGGCGCAATATCACTTTAGTATACAGTGACAGAGAATTAACGTACGGAAAATGCGGGCATGCAGCAGATTGATTTCTGTAGTCTTCCAGGTAGGTTTTTCTCTAGTTTAAGACTTATTAACTATCATTAGTTATGTCCTAGTCGTTCTAACGGGCGTTTTTGTTCATAAAATTAACAGAGCCTTGTCTTCGTGGTCCTCGCTGTCTGTGGTATAGGTAAGTTTCAACGGCGAAATTTTCCTACCATATTATCAATTTGATCAGAATAACAAAGCGCGCGGTTACAACCGTATCTCACCGTTTCCCAGAAATTGAACAAATGTACGTATCTTATTCGCCAGCCCTTGTTTATGGTCTGAATAATGGGATAGGAGGTTTAACACAGCTGCGCACGGGCCTCTTCTCATTGTCATAGTTGTGGTGTTTATACTTCTCCACACACAAGGTTCAAATTAATATCCCGCGCTTTGACAGTTCGTAAGCTGACTCTAGTCGTATGCCGCAGGAAGTCTCTATTTACTTTTCCCGTTTATTGGAAGGGCTATATTGTCTGCCAACTTCCTACGCAGTATGTACGGTCATTGTCTCTTTACGCCTAAATGCTCGTTGAAATCTTTTGTTAACTGTTCTTGATTCAGTGCTGGGTGTTTAGAATCATCTCTTATTACGCCAGAGAAAAAAAAACGTATCGTTTTGTTATGAATACTTTGCACAAAACCTACGGTTACATCATTTCTAAGTTGTCATTCATAAAGTGGATTGCTTCTGAATTGGCTAAAAAATGGTATTTATTTTTTCTTTTTAACTGTAAAATCGCATGTGCCTTGCGAATATAACGTCAGCCGTTGTGTTTGCCAATCCTTCAAGCCCTTCGTTTCCTTCGACACCAGTGTTAAATTTTGTTAGAGGAATGCGCCAGTATACTTCTCTATTTCCAATTACGCAGTCAGTAGCGCGCGTAATTTGCCGCTAATGCGAACATTTTATTTAAAGCGCCTAACACATGAATCCTTTTCATGCTGTAACAAAATAAAGAAAACAATTAAAATGAAAATAATTTCCTTCGCTTGACCAGGCTAAGTGGGCGTCAAAAAGCAGAACTGTGAAAACGCGACACGGTTTTTTGAAGTTACATGGACATATTTCTTGAGCAATTGCGTTTCCTAGGAGGTGCTATAAAACATACACAAACACACACGCGAGGCGAAAACGGAATATTTCATTGTATTTTATTCGGGATAAACAGTTCCGCTTCTCATGCTTGTGTTTAGAAAGTTGAGAGAAGTGTCGAATCGAAACGCCGGTGAAATCTACGAAGAAATGGAATCTGGAATCAGTTCGTGGACATTGAAATCAATCATGATTTTACGCACGGAGTATTCGTTTCAAGAGAGGTACTCGTATTGCCCCAAATAACTAAGAAGTCTATAAATTAGTCTTGTGTTTAACTTGTTAATTACATTTTCTTGTGATCCCAATAGATGTGATATCGGTTCGATGACTTGTTACGTATTGCGTTGTGAATCTTGACTGAGGCGTTTTCCGAGTGGATTACAACATGCGTTAATTCGAGATAGGGGGCCAATACACTTGATAGTAAAAAAGAAAAGGCCCCCGAGGAAATATATATAAATGGCTGGGCAGTAGTGCGAGACGACGGCACACTTGCAAAAATCTTTAAAATCCTCTCCTTTGACCACTTTGAAAACAACAATAAAACAACACGAAATGTGGAGCAGGGACATGCATTTGAGAAAGAAGACTATTTCTACCAAATGAATTGCAGAAAGTGCTTCAAACCGCTGTCATGTTGACCTCAATTGGTTTTACGCTCAGCTATTTCCTGTGTATTGCTTTTGAATCTCTCGTCAGTTGAATTCACAGCCCAACCAAACCTCAGAATTCTTTATTATCACTATTCCCTCGTTGTAGATCGAACAAGGCCAAAAAAATAGCTATGTAGTCTGAAAAAAAAAACTGTATTTCTCCTTATAAACTAGCCGGCTCTTTTTGTTTGTCACGGTATCCACTGGAAATGTCCTCAAGATAGTGATCTGTCCTGATAATATTCTAGGATCATTCACCGAACAACAAAAAAAGTATTAAAGACACACGCACATGCACATACACACAGCGCACTTCTGGATTTCAATTTTGTCTTTTTCCTCGCGTAATAGATTAAAATTCTATTTTTGTTTTTTCAGGCGAATAGCACGATACGGTGGATTTATCCACGATGTACTTATATTTTAAGAAAACTTCGCAACGAGATTATACCTCTGCTAAAGTCAATATCGATCTTAATCTATACCTTCGGACTTTCTTCCAGAAACGACACAAATGGAAAAATCTCGTCTAATTCTATCAACATCCTGATGTATAGATGTCGCTGTATTTTCTTTCTTTTTTTTTTTTTTTTACGCTCATATACATATTATAACATAAAAGCCAACACCTTAAAGTCTACATTCTTAAAAGTTGTGTTCGAGGGAAGAAATTTTGAAGCCATTTTATCTAACCGTTTCAGTTTTATAAGCCTCATGAGATACTCAGCGCGGGAAAATGGCGTTTTCTCATTAGTAACTGAGCCTTATATCAAGAGTAGTAGAATTTAGGCAAACTAAAACAGTCAGTAACGCAGCTCCAGACCTGAATATTAACTGTGCTGGGTTTTCCGGCCTCTTGTTCGTAACCGGAGGTAGCCAATACATCGAAGACATATCAGTGGTAAGAAATTAGAAAGATTCTTTTGTTTGATGCAATTTTTAGGTAATTTTACTAATCATTGATAATCTCTAACTTGGACGCGCTCTTTTTCTGGCAGAGTACGTATTAACCTTGAGGTGCTGGAATGCTAGAATTAAATTCCAGTGGAATATAGACAATTTTAAGTTCTCCAAGTCTAATAGCGGCACGCAGTTTGCGGTATCAGTATTCGTCACAGTTAGTACGTGCTCGCTGTTTCCCACCACAGTATAACTAGATTCGGGGTGCTTTTAAATAATTTAAAACCATTAAATCCTTGCTTAGTAAGTCAGTCAAGTATCTGAATTGTGTCGAACGCGCAGAAGCTATGGATGAAGGGCAGTTGAAAAGGAATAAGCAATAGTCTCTCAATAAGCTTGGTGCAATTGTAATTTAAAGAAAGCTTAACGTCGAAATCCAAAAAGATGGTACTGGTTAGTAAAAGGAGTTCTCGCGTGGAACTTGGAGTATTCGTAGCAGCGCCGCAACAATTGCTAAAAGGCCAAAGCTTTAGCAGTCCACTCTAAAATGGGCAATGCCTTATCCTTAAAACTTCAGATGTCAGTTTAAATTTCAGTGGTTAAAGATTGCAAAATTTTCAGGTCATAAATTTCATTTTTGAATAGTCAAACGGCTATGGGGTCAGGTCCAGAGCTTTTCATTGGGCGTCACCTTTCAAATCGATATATTTACTACCTGTCATTAACGCCGCGCCTTTAATTTTTCTTCCCCTCCAGAAAAATATTCGCGATAAACTTAACCATTGAACATGCAAGGCCAAGGTTAAAAAACTATCACAGCTATATATGTGTTCGAGGATTTTTGACAAGTATAAATATAATATACTCAGCAAACCTAGCATAAATGGCACTAGCTAGAAGTGAAACTGGCACTTAATATAAACCTTAGCGTCCACCTGGCATGGGTCATTGCAGCGTCTCAATCCCTTGGCCAGAGAGGTCGTTTTCAAAAAATGTTGTTTACTAACTGAAAATATCGATCGGTATTTACGTTTCTTGGCAACCAGCTGAGGCTTGTGAAGGCGATTTTGTAACGGAGCACAGCTTTAGCTTGTATAAAGTATTGATCGTTTGGACTGAGAAGCTTAAGAAACGCTGGTAGGTCGCAGCAATCCCATTATAATGATTTAAATTTGAGGAACTGTATTTTAGTTAATTTCTCAGAATTCCATTTCGCATCCTTACAACACATGATTTTCGCGTCATCAGGGTGCGCTCACGAGTACGTGCACAAGCATAACATCAAGAGATTTCCCTCAAGCTCAGCTCGACAGGGAAATAAATGCATGTTTTCTGTTAAACGAGCATAGTGACCTACATACGTTTTTATTGCATAATTTTGGTGTTCAAATTATTCTCTTTAAGTTGAAAAGAAGAAAAAAGGATAGCTAAAAGTGTGCACAAAACCGTTACTCGGCAACAACGACTCGAGGAACGTTTTGAGTCGATGTTGTTCAAAATTTTTTATATTTTTCATAAATTATATATAACATTGTTGCATATTCTCAGTGTTTGGTAGGGAACATTCACAATTGGAACTCAATGAACACATTGATTCTGAGCAGAAGTTTCATTTTATGTCTGCTGAAGAGCCTGCAGGCGAAAACAAAAGTGCCAGTTGAACACTAAACAACATTAAATAACATATTTAGTTTGCATAAAGTGTATAGGGTTGTTTTTCTTCTGTAGTGTTGACTAAATATGCCTTCTTTTTATATGTGATTAAAAAATTCTCTGAATTATACCAAAATGGGACGAACCGTGCTGATATTCGAATGACAGCGTCTACTGCACGAACATCATTCCGACAAGTGGTTCCGAAGTCGTGACGAAAGGTTCCGATTATCCGAATATCGAGACAAGCCTGTCTTCCGGAACTTAACATAATGATAAGAACGAGTTCAAATGTTATCGGAACTTATATTCTGACAATGTCTAACCATTCCGAAGAAAGCAAAACTAAAAACCACCAGGCAATATTTTGGCTATTTCTTTTTATCACTGGAAAACCGCAACGAGAAAAATGCAGACACAATAAATCACTTTTGCTACCACAATAGCGTCGACAAGTGTAAATATTGAATATAATAATTGCGTATCGTCACGAAATATATATGTTTATATTCACGTATATAGCGATTAAGACCAAATTTATTTTTTTGTTATTTTAAGCTTTCGTAGACCAAAAATAGCGCATTGGGGCAAATGAGCTAGCTATATAGTTATAAAAGTTGTCCTAACTGGTTATTACTCAGCAATTGTTCATACCAGGTAAATAATTGCTGAGTCAGACTATCTATGCAGTAGGGAATCTTAAAGTTGCCTGTGAGCAGGATCTCTAGTCGAGGACGGGGCGAAGAGAAAGCTGAAAGAAAACTGGATAGAACACCCAATACAGCAGTGCTAAACATTTCGACACTTAAATAAAGTGATGTAATTTTTTTTAAGTAA